GCCTCAACCGAATATCGATGTTGAGGAAGACAATCATCCAAGTTAAGGAGTTTGGAATGCACTCTTCTAAGAATCGTGCATCCAAAGGCGGGGTGCTAAACTTGGTGCTCCCCACTCGTATGTATATGCTCTAGGCATTTATATATATACAAAATATATATACCACCGAAACGGTGGATTTGTCCTCCATTGGACTAAGCAGTGCACAGTAGGAGCAATGCAAAGTGTGCATGGCCCCTGCGCAAAGATGACACGCCACAGCCCATGTTGAGTGCTCAAAATAGTGCTACCGTTGCAGTTACCTTTGGCCAGGTTCGGGTGTCTCTGGTGAATACCAGTATGTCGCAAGAGTTGAGCACTTTCAATGGAGTTCTACATGCCTTTGAACCTATGGAAAAACACATATATTACGAAAGCCAGCCGGGAAGCTGGCTGTTGCTATTTGCGAACGAAGTGAGAATAGGGGGTCTGGGGGGGGGGGTAGTTGCCAAACGGGTCAAAAATCGAAAATAGGTGGTGATTTTGGTGCGGGCAAAGTATGGTTTTGCAGGGTAATGTACCAGGCGGCAAAACAGTGACGGTGGGTATCGATTCCCGCTAGGTCCGGTTTTCTGGGGTTTTCTCGGCTCAGTCAATGGACAGATAGATGGGCCAGCTAGTTAGAGGAGATTGGAGAGAGAAGGACATTGGGTGAAAAGTATGTGCCAGCAGGTCTCTGGGTGAAAAGTATATGGGTGAAAAGTCTGTGCAAGAAGAATTCCTGGGAAGAGTCTCTGGGTGAAAAGTCTGTGCAAGAAGAGTTTCTGGGTGAAGAGTCTCTGGGTGAAAAGTATGTGCAAGAAGAGCTTCTGGGTGAAGAGTCTCTGGGTGAAAAGTATATGAGTGAAAAGTATGTGCAAGAAGAGTTTCTGGGTGAAGAGTCTCTGAGTAAAAAAGTATATGGGTGAAAAGTATGTGCAAGAAGAGTTTCTGGGTGAAGAGTCTCTGGGTGAAAAGTATATGGGTGAAAAGTATGTGCAAGAAGAGTTTCTGGGTGAAGAGTTCTGGGTGAAAAGTATATGGGTGAAAAGTATGTGCAAGAAGAGTTTCTGGGTGAAGAGTCTCCGGGTGAAAAGTATATGGTTGAAAAGTATGTGCAAGAAGAGTCTCTGGGTGAAAAGTATATGGGCGAAATGTTTGTGCAAGAAGAGTTTCTGGGTGAAGAGCCTCTGGGTGAAGAGTCTCTGGGTGAAAAGTATATGGGTGAAAAGTATGTGCAAGAAGAGTTTCTTTCTGAAGAGTCTATGGGTGAAAAGAATATGGGTGAAAAGTATTGGCAAGAAGAGTTTCTGGGTAAAGAGTCTCTGGGTGAAGAGTCTGTGCAAGAAGAGTTTCTGGGTGAAGAGCCTCTGGATGAAAACTATGTACAAGAAGAGTTTCTGGATGAAGAGTCTCTGGATGAAAAGTACAGGGGTGAAAAGTATATGGGTGAAAAGTATGTGCAAGAAGAGTTTCTGGGTGAAGAGTCTCTGGGTCTAAAGTATATGCATGAAAAATATGTGCAAGAAGAGTTTGTGGGTGAAGAGTCTCTGTGTGACAAGTATATGAGTGCAAAGTATGTGCAAGAAGAGTTTCTGGGTGAAGAGTCTCTGGGGGCAAGTATATTGGTGCAAAGTATGTGAAAGAAGAGTTTCTGGGTGAAGAGTCTCTGGGTAAAAAGTATATGGGTGAAAAGTATGTGCAAGAAGAGTCTCTGGGTGAAAAGTATATGGGTGAAAAGTATGTGCAAGAAGGGTTTCTGGGTGAAGAGTCTCTGGGTGAAAAGTATATGGGCGAAAAGTATGTGCAAGAAGAGTTTCTGGGTGAAGAGTCTCTGGATGAACAGTATATGGGTGAAAAGTATGTGCAAGAAGAGTTTCTGGGTGAAGAGTCTCTGGGTGAAAAGTATATGAGTGAAATGTATGTGCAAGAAGAGTTTCTGGGTGAAGAGTCTGTGGGTGAAAAGTATGTGCAAAAGTATGTGCAAAAAGAGTTCTGGGTGAAAAGTCCCTGGGTGAAAAGTATGTGCAAGAAGAGTTTCTGGGTGAAGAGTCTCTGGGTGGAAAGTATATGGTTGAAAAGTGTGTGCAAGAAGAGTCTCTGGGTGAAAAGTATATGGGTGAAATGTCTGTGCAAGAAGAGGTTCTGGGTGAAGAGTCTCTGGGTGAAGAGTATATGGGTGAAATGTCTGTGCAAGAAGAGTTTCTGGGTGAAGAGTCTCTGGGTGAAAAGTATATGGGTGAAAAGTATGTGCGAAAAGAGTTTCTGGGTGAAGAGTCTCTGGGTGAAAAGTATATGAGTGAAAAGTATGTACAAGAAGAGTTTCTGGGTGAAAAGTCTATGGGTGAAAAAATGTGGGTGAAAAGTATGTGCAAGAAGGGTTTCTGGGTGAAGAGTCTCTGGGTGAAAAGTATATGGGCGAAAAGTATGTGCAAGAAGAGTTTCTGGGTGAAGAGTCTCTGGATGAACAGTATATGGGTGAAATGTATGTGCAAGAAGAGTTTCTGGGTGAAGAGTCTCTCGGTGAAAAGTATATTGGTAAAAAGTATGTGCAAGAAGAGTTTCTGGGTGAAAAGTCTGTGCAATAAGAGTTTCTGGGCGAAGAGTCTCTGGGTTAAAAGTATATGGGTGAAAAGTATGTGCAAGAAGAGTCTCTGGGTGAAGAGTCTCTGGGTGAAAAGTATATGAGTGAAAAGTATGTGCAAGAAGAGTTTCTGGGTGAAAAGTATGTGCAAGAAAAGTTTCTGGGTAAAGAGTCTCTGGATGAAAAGTATATGGGTGAAAAGTATGTGCAAGAAGAATTTCTGGGTGAAAAGTCTGTGCAAAAAAAGTTTCTGGGTGAAGAGTCTCTGGGTGAAAAGTATATGGGTGAAAAGTATGTGCAAGAAGAGTTTCTGGGTGAAGAGTCTACGGGTGAAAAGTATATTGGTGAAAAGTATGTGCAAGAAGAGTTTCTGGGTGAAGAGTCTCTGGGTGAAAAGTATATGGGTGAGAAGTATGTGCAAGAAAAGTTTCTGGGTGAAGAGTCTCTGGGTGAAAAGTATATGGGTGAAAAGTATGTGCAAGAAGAGTTTCTGGGTGAAGAGTCTCTGGGTGAAAAGTATATGGGTGAAAAGCAAGTGCAAGAAGAGTTTCTGGGTGAAAAGTATGTGCAAGAAGAGTTTCTGGGTGAAGCGTCTCTGGGTGAAAAGTATGTGGGTGAAAAGTATATGAGTGAAAAGTTTGTGCAAGAAGAGTTTCTGGGTGAAAAGTATATGGGTGAAAAGTATGTGCAAGAAGAGCTTCTGGGTGAAGAGTCTCTGGGTGAAAAGTATATGGGTGAAAAGTATGTGCAAGAAGAGTTTCTGGTTGAAGAGTCTCTGGGTGAAAAGTATATGGGTGAAAAGTATGTGCAAGAAGAGTTTCTGGGTGAAGAGTCTCTGGGTGAAAAGTATATGGTTGAAAAGTATGTGCAAGAAGAGTTTCTGGGTGAAGAGTCTCTGGGTGAAAAGTATATGGGTGAAAAGTATGTGCAAGAAGAGTTTCTGGGTGAAAAGTCTGTGCAAGAAGAATTTCTCTGGGTGAAAAGTATATGGGTGAAAAGTATGTGCAAGAAGAGTTTCTGGGTGAAAAGTCTGTGCAATAAGAGTTTCTGGGTGAAGAGTCTCTGGGTGAAAAGTATGTGCAAGAAGGGTTTCTGGGTGAAGAGTCTCTGGGTGAAAAATATTGGGGAACATAGGGATAGATGGGATGCTGGCTTTCGTTCCCCCCTTCTCAGGTATATATATATATTATATATATTTATATATTGTAATGTAATGTATTATGAAATAATTATATACATATATATAATATTATATAAGTGCATCAACTTAACCTTGAACCGAAAGCAATCTTCGATCAAATTCGCAGATGGATCCCTCGTACCCCGCAAACATACAGCCACATATCTCGGTACCCTCCTTACAGATAATGTTGATAATAAACAAGAAGCCATGAACCGCATTGCAGACTCAATCCGCACTTGCAACAGACTCAAACTGTTTTGGACCAAAACGCAAAACTCCATTCGATGGAAAATTCAAGTTTTTCATTCAATCCTTCGGAGTAAGCTTTTATATGGGTTGGAAACTATCCAACTTAACCAGTCAGAACTTCATAGATTAGATGCTTTTCAGATCAAAGGATATCGGAGAATTCTACATATCCCACCCACAAGTGTTGACAGAACAATGACCAATGCATCGGTAAAAGAACTTCTCAAAAATCATTATGGTGTAACAGTTATAGAATTCTCAAAACTATGGTTCAAAAGAAAAAATCAACTCTTAGGACACATCATTGGATCAGACCCACAAGATCCCATGCGTCAGGTCCTTTTTCTACCTAATTCACTCATACCTAGAACTGAACATGCAAGACGAGTAGGCAAACCCAGAGCTCACTGGCTAATCGAAACCTATGCAGATGCTTATAGAGAAAGTGGTCACATAGATCAGTTTGACATCAACAACATTCTTCAAAGAAATTTAGTTAACGAATTGGCCCAGCAAAAACTCAACATTTTTTCCTGACACTCCATAGCACACCTCTTCACCGAAAAAACATCACCGAAAGCTTCGTCACCGAAAGTTTCATCACCGAAAGCTTCGTCACCGAAAGTTTCGTCATCGAAAGCGGGCATATTCCCGGCCCGGCCTCAGAAATAATAGATGTCTACACACCCCTTTTGCTCCTTCGCTTCTGTTCCTCCCCCCCTTGTTTGATAATTTGATCTTTCCCTCCTATTCCGTGATTCAGTCAAAATGATTATGGTGCTGCAAGGTTCGCAAGCTCAGTTTCATTCTGCGAAGCAGATAGCTAACAGTTGGATTCTGCATTCAGCTGCAGCTGCGGCTTGTGCGAAGCAAAAAAAACAATATTGAATAATATTGACACATGTATTGACACATGTATTGAAACAGACTGACACCTTGGACTGCTTTTGGCTTCAGCTTCTTGAGGACATTGAGCGAGCTGCCGCTCGTGGCCGTGCCAGTGTCCGCAGCGCGTTTGCTCGGGTGCTATCCTTATTGGTGAAGGAAAATTAAAAGAGAATAACATTATGCACACATTCCTTATCCAGATAACTTATCCACTCGGGTGACAATCTCTTGCTCCAACCTGTTTCTGCAACTTGTCTCTTGAGTCGGCAAAACCAAGAACACCTCAAACATGTCTCAAACATGTCTCAAACATGTGCCAGCAGCTGGTGGCTTGCATTGCGGAATTGAGCATTTCTCAGCTGTTTCGAATAACATTCCGAACGGATCAGCCCAGCCCCATTGCAAGGTTAGGGCACAGTTGAACGAGCGAGAGGCTGAACTGCTGGAGTCAGCAACTGAGAACAGCGAGGCAGAGCAATGTTCCAACATAGGTTGCGCAATGTTACACAACAGTCACTGACAGTTTACACCTGCTCCTTGCCTTCTTTTGCCCCAAGATCCATAGAGATGCATAAGGATCCAGGAGGTATGTAAGGTCATCCAGCGTGATCATTTCTTTTTGTAAATCCTTTTCTATCACGGTTCCTGAGTGATCTACGAGTCTACGAGGCACCTTATCCCAAATGTTTTGCCTCTCCAATCCATTTGCTAGGGCGATCCTATTTGCTGAGGATGACTTGTCTTTGCCATTCTTTGCCCCTTGTAGAGATTCATTGCTTGGAACAGCTTGGAATGAGGTCTCTGGATGCATACGAATCTGGCTCCTTGTCGAACCTGGATTCAGGCCCTGAGTCCAAGCTTTGGTGTGGATGGACCATCAGAAGTATAAGTTCTACGATTTCACAAGATAAGTATAATCATAAGAATGTAAGCGATATAGATAAGTTTTAAAACATGTTCGCTGCAAACCTTAGGTTTGCCCGCGGCGAATCCCGCATATCCTTTGACATGCTCAAAGCCCTGCGTAGGGTTTCAACAAGCCCTAAGACCCTAAAACCCTGACACCCTAAAATCTAAAACTCTAAACCCTAAATTAAAACCCTAAATCCTGAAAACTTAAAGTCAAAATCACTGCGTGTAGCCAGTGTTTTTATTCATCCTCTGGTGATAAGTATATCATATTGTTTGGATGTGTTGTTTGAGTGTGTGCGAACCCGGGGTTTGGAGGGAACATGTTATGAAATAAGTTTCAAACCTAGCTGTAAGAGCTTTGTTGTGCATGGTCCATGGTACAGCAGAGCTTCAAAGTCTTATATCGGAGAACATGCCACAGACACTCATGGCACATCATGATGCTTGTACATTGCCCTGAAAGTCATCTTCGGCACGGATGTGCAGGACACGCAGAGTACGGCACTCGCTTGAACGAGCTAAGACGGCTTCAGGTGCGAATTATGTTTTCCTTTGATTATTTTGATTTGTAAGATTTGGATTTGTAAAAGATGGTAGTAAAATGGTGATGAAGCTAACGGATCTAGGCTTTGTGGCCATGCCTCCCATGACCGGCTATGGGTTCATCATATCTTCATGAGACTATCCCTCTCTCTCGCTCTCAGCCATCATCTGACATTTGGCTTGTCTCGTTTCAAAAAGAACAAACATGAGTCAACATCATTCGTATAGAACACTTCTTGCTTTTTGCAGGAGAACCTCAGGGCGCGTTGTCGGAATGATGGTGACGCTGTGGAGGTTTGGCAAGTTCGACATGTACATTTTGTGACTCTGCAGACTCAGTATCTCAAAATATCTCAAATCTTAAATGATGTACTTTCCATGCCAGCAGACCTGGGCACATGTCAAGCTAACTCAGCAAGCGCTTCACCTCTAGTCAGCTACCAACTGACCCTTGAGATGACCGGTCAACCTTGTTGTGCATTCGGGCCTTTTTGGGCCTCTTTGGGCATTTGCAAATTTGCAAGGCTTTGAACACTTACTCTGCGGCCAAAGCTGCCATAGCGAGCTTAAGGGAAGCCTTCCGTCAGGCTGTTGGGCACACATTGGGCACACGCATGGATATGGAGCCCCCTTTTTGACATGACATGAAGAATCACTGCGATCTTTGCACTATAGTTCATGTTTTTCCCGGCACTGGAGCACTGATTTGTTGTAAGTTCCGGGTGCAGAAAAGATGCCCCCATGTGCAGACCCGGGTTACATGTTGCTCTTGTTCTTGGGGCGATGCTTATACTGTGAACTATTTGGAATTGATTTCCTCCCAGTTTCTTCATGAGTCTCTTTTTCCACCGGCATTTTTGGGCTCTTGGTATGCTGCAGGTTGCTCGTGCATCATGCTCTTACCATCGAATTCTAATTCTTTCGATTTCCCGTTGAACTTTGCCAACAGCAACGTTCTTTTCAACAGATCGTTTCCACACTGCTGGTCTCCCTGTACTTCTGGTAAGACAGTGAACGGTCTCACTCTGCAACCATTTGCGGACGGAATTCAAGTTCCTCAGTCATTTCAAAGGTACAGGCAGTAGCAACTGCCAAACTGGTGAAATTCGGTCCTTCACGTCCTTTATCTATTCTTGATTGTTCTCACTGCCTCCCATGTTTGTCCTGGTCACATTGCTCAGGAGGAGTTCAACTCAGCCCCACCCGAGGAGTTCATCGGTTTGGCGGGGAGGCTCCAAATAGTTGAATCAGAATAATCAGAAGATCTGATGACTCCAGGATGATATGCACATAATCAAGATTAATCAAGCATGTTCTTTACAATTTGAAGCAACTTGTGAACATACTAGTCAGTTGTCTTCTGTCCTGGTTCCAAAATTATCAAAAGTGTTGCCTATCAATCATATCAATTTAATTCAATTTATCAATTATAGATGTCCGCAAGGTGCCTTGATGCATAGATTTGTTAAGACACGTCAAGCGTTTCTCGAAATTCGAAGCCTTGCCAGTGCGCGTGCAGAGTTGGATCTGCACGCAGAGGGCTTGGCGAGTCTCGAAGAGGCAGCGGTTTCTCGTGGTTTCAAGAGTTCAATTGACCAATTTGGCCATCCGACAAGTAAAACATTGTGAAAAATTGTAGTACTATGAGATTGGGTGGGCACCATCCAGTACCTTGCCATGTTTGTTCTGCCCCTGCCCCCTTCCACTCAACAACTTTTTTCCCTTTTCTCTCCGTTTCATTCCTTTCTCATTCCTTGCTTCATTCGGGGCATCCCAGCAGAAATTTCCCAACGGCAGCCCAATGCATCTCTTGGCTCAGGCCGTCGCCAGCCTTTGCGAGCGAGGGGTTGAACCAGAGCGGGTCAAGGATTGACATATTGACATGATATTGACATTAATTGAACATGCTTAATGGCGGCAAAGCTAGAGTAGATTTGGCATCATTTGGCACCTTTATTTCTCATGTTTAGAAAGTCTGCATGCGAAAGATATCCGTAGATATCCCATCCAGTGTCTAATTCTGGTCGATATGATCTGAATCGATCTGATATATTTGACATTCTAGCAGTTGTCTGTGCTTGTTTACTGCTGGGCAGATCTTTCTAAGGGCTTGGATGGGTGCCTTTGATGTATGCTCGGCGCAGGGGTCAGCCGGAGTTTCAATGAGGCCGCTGACTTTATGATAGGTCGAATAGGTCGAGTGATTTTGAGGCCTTTGAACAACTTTGAATCAATCCTTTTGGGAAGGTAAATGGACAACCAAAAGATTCTTGTCGAAAAGGTTTGAAAGCTATAAGATTCTACCAATTTGCTAGGTAGATCCAAATGACACATGCAGTGCTGGCTTGATTTAGGAACAAAGCCTGGGACTCTCCGGAATCGGCCGTCACCAAATTGTTTGAGTAGTCCAGTGCTCGCTGCAGAAGGCGACCTACCTCTGCCGTACATCCCTCCTGATGTTTCTTTTGAAGCCTCTCAACACAAGCTTGGGTTCTGTTTGATCCTACCAGCATGAGGGCGCGCAATCTTCCCCAAACCATGGTGAAACTCCTTGCTTTATCCTAATGCTCGCAGGGCAACTTTTTGTCTGGCCTCGTTACAGGCGCAATGGCACCAACTTCGTTGGCCGAGTCTGAGTACAGGGCACGCGAGAAAGTTGGCTGGGGCTTATGGGAAGGAGTTGCAGAGGTTTGACTCGTAGAGTCATTGTCATTGTATGTCACTGTAGAGTGTTTATATTTGACTTTGGCATGTAAGGGGTTCACCATTGCAGTCGCCATGCAAGATCATGATAGAGAACCTGACAACACGATGCGAGGCCTAGGCCAACATGTTTGTAAAGGACCTATGTCATTAAGGCCTGCTCCCAACGGTTTGCAGCGACTGCAGGCTGTCCTGAGGATAGAACGACTTCAGCTGGGCACGACTTTCTTGGCATTCTCTTGGCGTTTCAAATGGAACAGCCTGTGACAGCCAAAAATTCGAACGATGCATCCAATTAATCGCCATCACCCCGGCAAAGAACTCTTTGATTTATTTCAGCAGAACTGGACTGCTGCATGAATATTTACATAAAATTAGATTCCATCAGACATTTCTTTGTGCACGCATGATTCAGTTCCTGAATGAAACATGAAGCCACACGAAGCCACAGTTGGAACGAGACATCTCTGGCACCGCTGTCAGTCGTTGACTGTGACAGATTAGTCCTTGCCGGAGAGGGTGCTTCCATGGTCCGACCGTCCGTCCCAGCACACCGTGCACACCTGTGTGTTTGCTATTTGTGTGGCAGAAATGAAGCAGTGTCTGCTGCCTCGCGCTTCATTATGCTATCTTTTTGGCGTTCATGTTTCAAAATTACTCAAATCAGCATGTGAATTGCTCACTCTTCACGCTCTGGTGGTTAGCAGAGAAAGCCAAAACACAGTAATTTCTTTTCAATTTTTTCAATAGCTTGTCAAATTGCGAGCTGGGAATCTTAGTCAACGCCTAATGCTTCATTATCTTCATTGGATTTTCATTGGTATCTGGACCACTCTGGACCGCTTTGTGAGCGCTTTGTGGAGTCACGGAGTCTGCATGGAGTGCTCACATTCTGCCGGTCCGATTGAGCTGAGTTGTTTCTGTGTCCTGCTTTGTCCTTTGTTTTTGATCGGACTTCTCACATCTCTTCACATTTTATCCTTTTTTTTCACATAGTGTTACATCATGTTACATCTTCACATCTCTTCACATCTTCTATGTTCAAATTTTATCATACTTGGCTTTGTATGATTCTGTGAATGAGTTATTTAGTGCAACACTGGTTGAGTGGAGGTGCCGCAGAACCTTTGGTGGTCTCAATCACTCCGTGCGGTGAATGGCAGCAAGACCGAGTGATCAGCCGATAACCACATTAGCATTGTTCCTTGGATTCAAAAGCGTCATCTGGATGAATTATAGTGACCTCATGTGACCTCACTGTTTTATATCGAAACAGGTGTTAAGGACTTGTTAAACAAACCTTTGCGTTTCGGATATTGGATAAAGGCGACCAGCATTGAAGGTGGAAGTCACTGCCGAGGGCCGCCCTCAACCTTGGGAATCACTGCTTGAAACACTGCTGTAGGTCACAAACGTCTCACCCACAGTCCGAGTTAGGGGAAAGGGAAGGTGAAAAAAATATCTAAAGAAAAAGATTGCAGAAGATGTTCAAGAGATTCTGGGGAACAGAGCCGTGTATTCCAGGATATTCCGTGATTTTTGTGCGAGCTTTCCATTTCGAGAAATCTTTAAGTCTGGATCTGCAAGTCTTTCCAAGTCACGACGGATTCACGTCTTTCCAAATCTTTCCATCTCAGGAGGGGCATTTGCAAGACGTACACTTTGGATGCGATCTTCCAGCTCCTCGATGCAGCCTGCGGTGCTCAGCGAACATACAACTTTGTGCACCTCCCAAAGCGAGGCCGCAAAACAAATGGAAACTAAACTTGGATATGTTGGATACAATGGATACGTTGGATACATTTGTGCAATTTGGAATCTGACCGCGGTTTTATTCGACTTCAAATGTGTCCTCCGTTAGGTCAGTGGTGGTGCCCGTCCCTCCGGAACTCTCCCTTCATTTCTCTCCCACTCTCACTATGTCTTGCTGAGCTTCAGCGAAGGTGTCTGGCTCTGTGCAAATATTCTTTCATTTGCTTCCTGTTCCCTTTGTTTGTCTCTCATCATGTGATTTTACGTTTGTCTTTCCCATTTGCTTCCCGTCGTAATGTGTTTCCCATTCTGTCTTCAGTTGTCTCCAATAGTTTCTGTCATTTCTTTCCCAGCATGCACATTTGTTTCCCATCATGTGTAAATGATTCACTGTCGATTCTTGGTTTAAGATACGTCCACCTCCTGGTTGGCGGTGTCCAGGATTCTGGCTCGTTTGGCTCTCTATTCATCCCATGATTTGTTAAGATCATTGGTGGTGTCCCGCCTCCGGCTTGTTGTGCCTCTGCTAGTGGTGGTGTCAGGGTCCTCTTTGTCTCCCAGTAGTTGTCTTCCATCACGAATTGCGTGTCTTCAAGGTCGGTTGGTTTCGGGGCTGGTCACCTTTCTCGAGTTTCTTGTTTCACTTTCTCCTCAAGCCCTTGATTGCTTCCCAAGTTTTTTTGATGTTTTTGAAACTTCAAATACATTTCGAATGTGATTCGTTGGCTTGCTGATTAAAGGATCTTAAAGGTGCATTTGCTCTCACTGAAATGATTTGTATATTGATGAATAGATCTTTATGCTGTCCACCTGTTTGGCGTCGGGGTGTTATGTTCCTGACCTTATGCAGGAGGTCAGCAACACGGTGGTTTGGTGATCGTCAACTTTGCTGATCCGGGCTCTTGCAGAAGTTGTCTTGAGAAGTTGCTGAAGATGCGAGAAGATGGAGTGTTCACTGGAGTCAAGAGCATAGCGCCGTCATACATCCAAGGCTTTGCAGAGCCTCTCGTCTTGATTCAAGCCTCCACGCTCTGCAAGCAAGCAAGTTGAAGCCGGCAGCGGATTTCCAAGTTGAAATGGCTTGCATAGCAACGGTTAGCAGCTACATGCAGCTACTGTAGCAGCGGGAAAGTCATGAGAACACTCTGCCAATCTCTGCCATGTGTTGTCAAGAGCTGAGAGCCACAACATCAATCTGTGTGGCTTCGCAAAAGTTGTCTCCTGCGTTGTGTTGTTCTGTGCTGCTTTGACACTGCTGCTTTGACACCACAGCGCTTAAATGGAGACTGCAGGAACCTTGCGTACTATTCGGTGCTCGTGACTGAAGGAATGGCTGGAGAGCCACCAATGGTTTTCGTGCTAGTCTCAGACCGCTGCAATGCAAAATGTCCAGAAGTGCTCGTCAATCAAACATGGCAATGGCAAATCACCCATCCCATTTAAAGAATATATATGTAATATGTTAGTAATAATTTAATATGTGTATTATATTTTCTCATTCAAATGCCCATTTCTCAGGGGTTTGATTGCCCAAGAATTACTTTTGAACTATTGAGGAGACTCTTCATTCATTCCTTTGCCTCATGGTTGATCTGAAATTAGACATGGTGTAATTGTGGTATTTCCAGCAGGGATAAGAAGGATGTTCTGGAAAGAGTTTTCAGTTTGTCACGCAGATGTAACCCAGTGATATGCGAAGGAACGGGGAAGATGGCTTCAGAACATCATGCCCGTGATTCAGCAATTTGTGACTCCGGAACTCATGGTGTGGGCAAGTGAGCCACTGGGCAGCAAAACAGTTGAAGTGGCTGAAGCATTTGAGCATGTCCGAAGAAGCGGTGCCACGTGAATCACCAGCATTCAAAGATGCATAAAGATGCAATTCAAAAACATGACCTTACTTCAGCTTGCTTCGAGCAACTTGAGGTGTCAAGTGTCAAACTCGGCTAAGTTTGCACTGCATGACGCAAAATTGACCCGTCGAATTTGCCCCAGCAGCCTGCTACTGAGGCAAGTGAAGGCCTGGGCAGACAACGGTTAGATCTTGGCGACGAAAATGCTTCGTATTCATGAAACAGCATTCACCTCAAAAAGTACCTTGTTGGATCTTTCCCTAGCTGCTATAGCTAAAGGCTAAAACGGACGGAATGAGTCTTGATTATGATTTGCACCCAGTGTGGCCATCTTGTGGTGAGAACATTCGTGGACTATCTGGACCCCAAGCTCAGAATGCTAGCGCACTTGCCAGGCCTTATATGGAATGGGTACATCCCAATCCACTCAGAAGGACACGTCTCATAATGGTTGATGACGGTGCTGGTGCGAAGTGGTTGAGGCATAAAAAGATAGTTGAGATTAGTTGAGCCATTGAAACTAAGCAGCAGTTGAGAAGACTGTTGAGAAGTGGTTCAGCGGTTCAGCAGCAGTCCTGAAACAAAGCCATTGAAACAAAGCCATTGTTCTAACGGCTCGCCTTCAACAGCGCTTCTTTGGCCAGAGCTCTTCATATCAGGCATCCTGGCGTCTTGAATTACTTGTCTAGTACAGGCTTGCTCTAGAGAAGAGCTCTAGTGATTCCTCAGACATGTCCACCAGGACAGAGAACCTCACCTGCAAGACTTGCAAGACTTGCAAGACTTGCAAGACTTGAAACAACTCGGTGGTCGCAATCCAACACTGCGAGAGCTCGAGACTCGGCAACGAGTTCCGGGCAGACCGCCAAGCCACAGATTATCACAGCACAGATATCATTGCAACATATTGCAACATATTGCAACAGATTGCAACAGATTGCAACAGATTGCTCTGTTTGGTGAACCTGGCACAATCATGCACAATGTGGTTCAATAACCTCAACAAAACCCACAGCAATGGGGCCCCTCCAACTGAACCTAGACTGAGACTGCATGGTTTCTCGTCTCTTTCATATTCCCGAAAGGTTAAAGCTTTGTGAGCAACTACTACTGAATGTGTAATAAAACTCTTCTACTCACCCAAGAGACTCCGTTTTGTGGCAGTTTCTTTTGCTGCAACTGCCAACAAGCGCGACATTGACGCGTGCACACGCACTGGTGATCTTTTTGGGGTTGACCCTTTCGTTTGCTGATCTCAAATGACTCAGGAGCGAATTCAGATGCTTCTTCCCGAGAGCAGATCCGTTGACTCCAGCGACTTCTTGATTTTCTCACTCTGAACCGGACAAGTCTGCGATGGCATAGTCTGAAGATCAAGCGAACGCCAAGAGACGTAAGCTTGAGCTTCAAGCATGCTGCGGAGACAGAGACAGACTGAATCCCCAATCATTCTCCATTGGTGAGAGCCGACGTGCCTGCTACAGCCACGAAGGACATGAAAAGGCTGCTCAGAACAAATACGACAAACATCTGCAAATCCTACTCGGGAAGCCACAAGCAAATGAATGGAAACATCATCAACAAAAACATCATCACCACCATAATCATCACCACCATAATCATCACCACCATAATCATCACCACCATAATCATCACCACCATAATCATCACCACCATAATCATCACCACCATAATCATCACCACCATAATCATCACCACCATAATCATCACCGCCATAATCATCACCGCCATAATCATCACCACCATAATCATCACCACCATAATCATCACCACCATAATCATCACCACCATAATCATCACCACCATAATCATCACCACCATAATCATCACCACCGTAATCATCACCACCATAATCATCACCACCATAATCATCACCACCATAATCATCACCACCATAATCATCACCACCATAATCATCACCACCATAATCATCACCACCATATCATCACCACCATAATCATCACCAACCCATAATCAAATCAACCACCATGTCTCACCACCATAATCATCACCACCATATTCATCACCACCAGAGTCCATCACCAACCACCATAATCATCACCATAATCATCACCATAATCATCACCACCACAATCATCACCACCATAATCATCACCACCATAATCATCACCGCCATAATCATCACCATAATCATCACCACCATAATCATCACCACCATAATCATCGCCACCATAATCATCGCCACCATAATCATCCCAACCATAATCATCCCAACCATAATCATCACCACCATAATCATCACCACCATAATCATCACCACCATAATCATCACCACCATAATCATCACCACCATAATCATCACCACCATAATCATCACCACCATAATCATCACCACCATAATCATCACCACCGTAATCATCACCACCATAATCATCACCACCATAATCATCACCACCATAATCATCACCACCATAATCATCACCACCATAATCATCACCACCATAATCATCACCACCATAATCATCACCACCATAATCATCACCACCATAATCATCACCACCATAATCATCACCACCATAATCATCACCATAATCATCACCACCATAATCATCACCACCACAATCATCACCACCACAATCATCACCACCATAATCATCACCACCATAATCATCACCCCATACTCCTCCCCACCATCTCCTCCCCGCCATAATCATCACCACCATAAACATGCACCACCATTAATCATCACCACCATATCATCACCACACCAAATCTCACCCCCATAATCATCACAACCATAATCATCACCACATAATCATCACACCATAATCAGCACCACCTACTCACAACCACCATAAGCATCACCACCATAATCACACCACCATAGTCCATCACCACCGATAGTCATCACCACCATAATCAATCACCCCATATCATCACCACATAATCATCACCACCACCAAATCATCACCACCATAATCATCGCCACCATAATCATCCCACCATACTCATCACCACCATAATCATCACCACCATAATCATCACACCACATACTCATCACCACCATAATCATCACCACCATAATCATCAACCACCATAATCCATCACCACAACACCACCGTAATCATCAACCACCGTAATCATCACCACCATATCACATCACCACCATAATCATCACCACCATAAGCATCCCACCATAATCTCCTCACCACCACCATAAATCATCACACCATAATCAGCACCCACCATAATCATCACCACCATAATCATCACCACCATAATCATCACCACCATAATCATCACCATAATCATCACCACCATAATCATCACCACCACAATCATCACCACCACAATCATCACCACCATAATCATCACCACCATAATCATCACCACCATAGTCACCACCACCACCATCATCATCATCAAGATCATCGTCGTCGTCGTCGTCATCATCATCATCATAATAATCATGATGATGATGATCATCATCATCATCCACAGCAACTACAGCGACCACAGCGACCACAGCAAACAATGAGCAACATCCCAACAGCAAAAACAACAACAACAACAACAACAACAACAACAACAACAACAACAACAACAACAACAACAACAACAACAACAACAACAACAACAACAACACAAAACGAAAGGGACAAGAAAGACAAGAATGACAAAGAGGACAACAAGGACAAGAAGGACAAGGAGGACAAGAAGGACAAGAAGGACGAGAAGGACGATAAGGACCAGAAGGACAAGGAGGACAAAAAGGGCACGAAGGACAAGAAGGACAAGAAGGACAAGAAGGAGAAGAAGGACAAGAAGGACAAGAAGGACAAGAAGGAGAAGAAGGAGAAGAAGGAGAAGAAGAACGAAGGACCAAGAAGGACGACAAGGAGCAAGGAGGACGAGAAAACCAAGAAGGACGAGAAGGGCAAGAAGGGCGAGAAGGACAAGAAGGACAAGAAGGAGAAGAAGGACGAGAAGGACAAGAAGGACAAGAAGGACAAGAAGGACGGTAAGGACCAGAAGGACGAAGGACCAAGAAGGATGACAAGGACCAAGGAGGACGAGAAGACCAAGAAGGACGAGAAGACCAAGAAGGACGAGAAGGACAAGAAGGACGACAAGGAGCAAGGAGGACGAGAAGACCAAGAAGGACGAGAAGGGCAAGAAGGGCGAGAAGGACAAGAAGGACAAGAAGGAGAAGAAGGACGAGAAGGACAAGAAGGACAAGAAGGACAAGAAGGACAATAAGGACAAGAAGGATGGTAAGGACCAGAAGGACGAAGGACCAAGAAGGATGACAAGGACCAAGGAGGACGAGAAGACCAAGAAGGACGAGAAGACCAAGAAGGACGAGAAGGACAAGAAGGACGAGAAGGACAAGAAGGACAAGAAAGAGAAGAAGGACGAGAAGGACAAGAAGGACGATAAGGACGATAAGGACGAAGGACCAAGAAGGACGACAAGGACCAAGGAGGACGAGAAGACCAAGAAGGACGAGAAGACCAAGAAGGACAACAAGGACCAAGGAGGACGAGAAGACCAAGAAGGACGAGAAGGACAAGAAGGACAAGAAGGACAAGAAGGACAAGGACGACAAGGACGACAAGGACGACAAGGACGACAAGGTCGACAAGGAGGACAAGGACGACAAGGACGACAAGGAGGTCAAGGACGACAAGGACGACAAGGAGGACAAGGAGGACAAGGAGGGCAAGGAGGACAAGGAGGACAAGGAGGACAAGCAACAAGGACAACAAGGACAACAAAGACAACAAGGACAACAAGGACAACAAGGACGACAAGGACGACAAGGACGACAACAACAACCACCACAACGATAACGACAAGGAGAGCGACAACTACAAGGATAATGGCAACAACAACAGCAACAGCAACAGCAGCAGCAGTAAGACAACAACACCAATAGCAACAGCAATGGCAACAGCAATAGCAATGGCAATAGCAACAGCAATTGCAACAGCAATAGCAACAGCAATAGCAACGGCAATGGTAACGGCAATCGCAACAGTAGTAGCAACAGCAGTAGCAACAGCAACAGCAACAGCTACAGCAGTGATAATCTGATAGCAATATTTAACCGCCTTCGGCATGTTCCGCCGGCCACCATGGAAAGAGCTATCCTGTAGGCTGCAAACAGCCCTTGCACAGGCCCAGCAAGAACATGTTTTTTGTATAAAACATTGTGTTTGTGGATAACACCGTTTTTGTGTAAAACAGCTCTTTGTGCAAAAGATGGACGCAAACACATTGGTTTTGTTCAAACCACGGTTTAAATTTAAACCAAAGCATGTGTGTAAACCAGGGCTTTGGAACAGGCCATATTGAGAACGGCTTTGGAAAAGGCTATATTTAGAAAGGTTATGCGTGTAAAAGGTGTTAGGCACAAAAGCCAGTGGATCAAGTATTGGTTAAAAGAAGCGACGGAGCAAACCGATGGCAAACACAGCAAAAAAACGGAAGCAACCATCGAAATGACAGCAAGATCTGCAAAACCAAGCCGGTGTTGAGCGAGGCGTGGGCAGAGTTGAGCCCACCACAACATAAGGAAAGATCAAGACGAAGCGAAGGGGAGAGGACAGCCATGATAACGACGACAGCAACGACAACAATGAAAACGATTTAAACAATGACACCGACAGCAGCAACCGCAACACCGATGCAAGCAACAACCATGACAACAACAATCGTGACAACAGTAACGTTGACAAAATTGACGATAAGAACAAGGATGACAGTAACAATGATGCCAGCAAAAATGATCACAACAAGAAGGATGAGGCTGACGCAGACAGCAAAAGCAGCAAAAGCAGCAAAAGCAGCAAAAGCAGCAACAGCAACAGCAGCCACAACAACAAACACAACAACAACAACAACAACAAGAAGAAGAAGAAGAACAAGAACAAGAACAAGAACAACAACAACAACAACAAGAACAAGAACAAGAACAAGAACAAGAGCAACAACAACACCACCACCACAACAACCACAACAACCACAACAACCACAACAACCACAACAACCACAACAACCACAACACCACCACCACAACAACAACACCACCACCACCGCCACCACCACCACCTCAACAACAACCAACCACACACCACAACCACAACCACAACAACAACAAAACCAACAACAACACCAACCAACACAACAACAACAACAACACCAACAGACCAACACCAACAACAACAACAACACCCACCACAACAACAACAACACCACAACACAACAACAACCACAACAACCACACAACCACCACAACCACAACAACCACAACAACCACAACAACCACAACAACCACAACAACCACAACAACCACAACAACCACAACAACCACAACAACCACAACAACCACAACAACCACAACCATAACAACCACAACCACAACAACCACAACCACAACAACCACAACCACAACAACCACAACCACAACAACCACAACAACAACCACAACAACAACCACAACAACAACCACAACAACAACCACAACCACAACAACCACAACAACAACCACAACCACAACCACAACCACAAGGAGAACCACATCGACGACGACACTAACGACAGCGACAAGGACAACGAGAGCGACGTATTTACAGTGTTTTCTGCCCTCGGGAGCAAAAAATCATGGTATTTACAATGTTTTGTGGGCTGCACTTGGCAAAACACTGGTTACAAGAAATATTTTTTTCCATGCAAAAGTTGCGAACACACTGTAGATTACAGTGTTTTGGACGTCGGCGCGCACCAAGAAAACAGCAAAAATCGACCAAAAAGAGTCCAACATGCACCTTCCAGCGGCAAGCCCCATTTTTGACCCAAAAACGTTAAACACCACAAGAATGAAGGATTTTTTACGGGTCGGCGGCAGGGGCGGCAACTCCACTGCAAGCAGGAGTTGCAGAGTCGGCGAGCTGCCAAGGCATCGCCGATATAAAACGGGGCTGCGCCACCTGCCGCCGACCCCCGAGGTTATGGGTCTGGCGAGCGGGGGCTGTCGGCAACACAGGGAGGTCAAAACAGCATGCTGAATGAAACTACGTCGTCATTTTTCTTATCTCAGCTTGCAAAGGATATTGAAACGTGTCCTATTCTATGTCAGCCACACCTGTGAAGCCCGGAGCCGTCTGGCGTCCGATGGGGATTCGCAAGAGCTTGCCACCCAATCTCACCGAAAATTGCACTGGTTGCAGCGGCAGGACCAAGAGTGCGGTGGGCTGTATGGCGTGTTGCCGCTATGCGTGGGCATGCCCGTCCGGGCGGCAGACCATGTGGACCGGAAAGGGGAAATGTTAACGAGACAGCATGCCACCGGCCACCGAAGGATGGAACGGGGACAAGAAACTAGCTCCAAATGGCAGCCTCCAAGCTTCAAAACGGCTTTCCACAGCCCGAAACAGCATGCCAGTGGAGGATGGAACTGGCTTGCAGCCTGCAGCCTATAATGCCCAACGTTGCTTTCTGAACAGACAAGAAACTAGCTCCAAACGGTAACCTCCAAGCTTCAAGCAGACTTGCAGCCCGTAATGCCTAATGTTCCTTTCTAAGCCAAAAAGAAACTAGCTCCAAATGGCAGCCCTAAAATGGCCACCCGCGCTACCCCACCATGCGAGTGAAGGCGCAGCCTGCAGCCTATAATGCCTAACGTTGCTTATGTTTCTGAACGGACAAGAAGCTAGCTCCAAATTGCAACTTCCAAGCATCAACAAAATTGTCTTCGCCATCCCGAAACAGCATGCCAGAGAAGAACGGAGCGGCCCTGCAGCATGCAGCCAGCAATGCCCAGCATTGCTGTCTCAGCGAACAAGAAACTAGCTCCACATGGCAGCTTCCAGGCCTCAAGGCGGGCCCCCTTGCCACCCCAAAATTGAATGCCAGTTGTAATGCCCCACATTCCAAGACACTGGCTTCCAGATGGCAACCTCCAAGCCTCAGAACGGCCGCCTTCGCCACCCTGAAACTGCATGCCAGCGAAGGACGGAACGGGCTCGCAGCCTGGATCCTATAATGCGAAACGTTGCTTTCTGAATGGAAAAGAAATTAATTCCAAATGTCAAAAAGATTGCTTTGGGCTATAGTGCCCAAGGTTGCTTTCCGAATGGACAAGAAACTATAGCTCCAAGTGACAACCTCCAAGCTTCAAAAAGATTTCGCTCGCCACCCCCAAACAGCATGCCCAGGAAGGGAGCGCCTGCAACCCGTAATGCGTGGCGTTGCATTCTGAGCGAACACGAAACTAGCTTCAAATGGCAGCCTCCAAGCCTCAAAACGGCCACCCTTGCTATCCCAAAACTACATGCCTTGTGAGTGAAGGACGGAGCGGGCCCGCAGCCTGCAGCCTATAACGCCTAATTCATGTTGCTTGTTGAACAGACAAGAAATTAGCTCCGTTGCCGTCCTCACCCCGAAACACCATGCCAATGAAGGATGGAACCGGCTTGCCGCTTGCAGCCTATAATGCCCAACGTTGCTTTGTGAGCGAGCACGAAACTAGCTCCAAATGACTGCCTCCAAGCTTCAAAACACGCAGAGCCAAAACACCATGGCAATGAAGGACGCATCCTGCCGCCAGCAGCCCAAGCTTCAGAATGGTACCCCTCCGAAACGCGATGGCTGTAAGGGATTGGATCGACCCGTGGACAGCAGCCCATACTGCCTAACGTTGCTTTCTGAGCGAACACGAAACCAATTCCAAGCCTCAAAACGGTACCGTTGCTTTCCGAGCGAGCAAGAAATTAGGCACGCCTTCTGAGAGCCAAAGCACCATATGGCAGTGAAGGATGGAAGCCCCCTAACATCACATTCTGACCGCCCCCTAACATCACTTTCTGACCCGACAAGAAACAAACTCCAAATTGCAGCGCGCCTCAGCTACGCTCGCTTCGCCACACCGAAACACGATGCCAGTGAAGGCTAAAACGGGCCCACCATTTGAAGCCCATCGTGCCTAACGTCGCTTTCTGACCCAACAAAAAACTATAGCTCCAAATCGCAGCCCTCTGGCCTCCAAAACGCTGGCTTCGCCACACCGAAACACCATGCCAGTGAAGGCCAAAACAGGCCCGCGACCTGAAGCCCATTGTGACTAACGTAGCTTTCTGAAATTATGCTCCAAATTGCAGCCTTCCGGCCTCCAAAACACTGGCCTCGAGCAAGACAGTAGTTCAAACTGCAGCTCCCAGGCCTGCTTTCATCCTTATTCTTGCAGCTTGCTTTCTTTTTCCAGATCTTCGTTTTTCCTCCGCTTCTTCCTCGTGCCTCTTGCTTCTTCTTATTGCTTTCTAGTGTTTGCTCTTGCCCCGTGCTTTCTTCTTGCATGTCTTGCGTGCTCTTGCAGCTTGTTTTTTTCTTCCGCCTTGTTCTTGCTGCTTGCTTTCTTTTCCAATATCTTGCTTGCTCTTGCAACTTTTTCTTTCGTCTGCTTCTTTCTCTTGTTTTTCTTGCATCTTTCTTGCGAACCGACAAGAAAAAGCACCCATGCTGCTGGCAATTGCTTCTCTGACACGCCCCCCTGGGCCATCGGCAAGGGTCGGCGGATTGCAAGAACATGACGAACGACAAACGCATGACAAAAATTGACAAAAGGACCGAAAATGACAGAGGAATGTCAAAAACTAGAATAAATTGCCCAAATAATGACAAGGCATATGCAAAATGAGGACCTACATGACAAGAACGAAAAAAACAACGAAGGTACATATTTTGGATTTTGCGGTGTTTAAAGGCGCATATTTTTTTCATTATGGTACTACCACTCCTACTCTTGCCGTTCCTGCTCCTCCGCCTACCGCTGCTGTCCGCTGTTGCTGTTCATTTCATCTAAATTTTCCCAAATCGATGAAGTGTTCCAAGATGCACCACCTACATTTGATAGCACCTCCATCGATGCTTCTGTTTTGTGGATCCATTTGTTTTTTTTGATGTCCTCTAGGTATTTAATTCAATCGATTCTGTGTTGGTAAAATATGTTGGAAACCAAAAACCATTAATCGAACCCGTGATTCTGCTCAGGTTGAAAACTCCTTCGCGTGAAGTGCAGCATGCAGTTGCATTTGAAGCTGACTCCACATAATGTTGGAAGTTCAGAAGCTTTTGCACTTTGCCTTTTACTGATTTTTCGAGTCTTAGAGACGTGGTCTCTATGAAAATCGCTAACAATTAAATGGAATTTTCATTGCTCGACGCTGTTGCTCTGGTTTTCCGAAACTATTCGTTTTTGCCATACAGTTTTGAGTCTTCTTTGTATTCCACAGTAAGACTAATCGACTGAAAAATATTGCACTGGCTTGGAGCCGGCACCTTGAAAGACTCCAACAGACGATGGGCGTCTGATTTTCAGCAGGAGCAGCAAGGGCTGCTGCTGCCGCTGCCGCCCCCCTTGAATCAAATTTTGAGTCAGCACAGTCAATCTGGTAGCTGGTAGATTGCCATGACTCGGTTCAGCTGAGCTGTGCAGAATAGTCATGCTGAAGCTCTGAATTGCCTGTCCAAATGAATTGGGAGATCGTGTCTTCAACTGGGTTGAAAATTTGGTAGAATGGTGGGCCCAGTGACATCCAGCGACCAATATATAAGGCAGAAACTGATAGGTTTCAGATTTCAGGGGTGCCAGCATATGCAGTTCAGATTCATTTTGTAACTGCTATTCTTGGACTCATTTGAACACCAAAAGGCCTTTTTGCAGCGCTCCTCAACTTGGTTCAGGAATCTTTCTTTGGCACATGTTTTGTTTTCAAAGCTGAACGAAAATGTGAGGCTGTTATTTTGCAGGTGGATGGATGTCGGGTGAAGAATCAAAATGCACCTGCCACGCAGCAGCCTGTTCCCTCCAAGATGTGTCAATATTGAGGAAATACGAAGAGTAGGCAGCTCAAAAGGACATTGAACAAGTATATGTTCCCAACATATAATTTTTCTTTCCAACACCCTTTCCTCATTGTGATGTGCGATTTTTTGGCCGTAGTATGCATTCTTTGATACATCACCAAGCTGAAAAGTACAGCCTCTATTGAGCTCTTGTCATAGCGGAAGCCCATTTCATATCATTTTATTATTATTGATTTTGGAATGTCGGAAGGACCTAGCAGTCCAGAATCATTAGAATCTAGCCTGAATTCAACCCGGATATTCCTTCGACTTTCTTCGGCTTCTAGCTGCCAGAAGCAGCTTGCGTGTGACAGCTGGGAGATCGCTGACTTCCTGTCCTGTCAATGCCAAGACAACCAATGAATCTCAGAGACGAGCTACGCAGCTACTTGGGACTTGCCCGATTTGTTGCGTGGGTTACTTGGACGCCGGCGCCGTCCAGATGGGCCATAGTTTTTCCGCCATACCTGCTGCCAGCCAGAGGCTAGGACATCGCTGGCTTGGAATTGTTCGACTTGTGACTTCCAACTTGTTCCAGAATTTTGTGTTTCAGAGCGGACTCTTAGACTGAAACATTTGAAACTGCAAGTCCAATGAGTAATTGCTGGAGTTCTGATTTGCCTGTCCTCTGGTTTGCTGGTTTGCTGGGTGATCCAGGCACCGCAAGGTCATGACGGTCATGATCGAAGATCTGACCACCAATCACTTTTTTTTTTTATCCCTTTGGATAGAGTCAGCAGGAACCAATCCCATGTTTTGCATCTTTGGAAATGAACGCCTTTGAATTTTGTTCGGACACACGGCCTGTTTGGAATGCTGAAGAGAATCAGGCAGTTGAAAGTTTTGGCTTGCCCGTGACTTTTGGCTGCAAGTGATAGCACGAAAATCTATGAAGCTGCCATGATGCAACTGTTGTGTTGTTCAACAGCTTGACCCAATGTTTTCCTACAGCTGCTTGTAGCAATCTTGGTACTTCGATGGGCATAACAACCAAAGCAAATGCATCATGTAGCAGGCCTTCGCAAAGTGTCTTCAATCTCCAGACCTCTGTCAAACTTGTCTTGGAAACGGCCTTTCCTGCACGGCCTCGGACTGCCCCCGAGTGGGAAGCAGGGCTAAGGCGCGGATGTTAATCAAACACATGCCAAGGGAGTCCAAGACGTTTAAGATACGAGAGTATGATTCAGTATGATACGTTACGATACGTTACGATACGTTATTTTCTTTTTTCTCAGGTTCAAGCTCGTAAGGTTCTCTGAGCGTTTGAGGTTGTGGAGTCACATCAACGGCGTCTGGATTCATGGACGACTGACATGCAAGAGTTTTGTACGGCTTCAAATGCTCTACCTGCCACTTACAGTACGAATTATGACGCTTCATGTAGCAGCATACCCTTGGGATAGCATGGGTCAACATCAGAAATGCGGCAAAGCTTCAAGTCTGAAGTCCCAAGACTTGCAAAGCCTTGCCTAGGTCGCAAGCTGAATGTGGCAGGCTTGGGCTGTTCTGGTTCTGGGATGTCTTTGCAACAGTGGTAGCACAAACTGCTTCACTCATGAGAAGTTATTGACAAGACTGACACAACGGATGCAAGTCCCAAGATGCTCCAAGTAACCGCAGAGTCTGGCACAGGCTTTTTGAATGGTCAGAATCAGAACTAATACTTTGAAAGCAAACTACACAAAGATACACAAGGCTAGTGCGAGTTGGGACCAACTGAGTAGATAGAAGCATCGGTTACAGCCAGTTGTATACAGTTTTCCTTGGTTTGCAGGCAAGGTGCTGGTACCGGTCTGGTGCATGCCTTGCCAGCGCCGCAGGAGCAGTGTGAATGCTCAGGATCGAAGACAAATGATATTTTCAGATCGATATAATAATAATGATAATCATAATAATTTTAATATATATATATATTGTACATATATATACATATATACACTATATATAATTTATTTATATATTATATTGTATATATATAAATATATATATATATTAGATTGTATATTGTATATATATATATTAGATTATATATTGTGTATATATATATATATATTAGATTAAATATTGTATATATTAAGTTATATATTTTTAATTTATATTATATTATATTATATTTTGGTTTACCAAATTATATTATATTATAGTATATTGTATCATTTTTTTTTTAAAATTATATTATATTATATGATGTATATTATAAAACAAATGAATTATTGTTATGTGTTTATATATACATAGACATATATATATATATACATTCATTCATGCATGCTTGCATATATATATATACATATTATATTGACATATTTTATATACATATCAAAAATACATATTCTATATATATACACATATTATACATGTTTTACATTTTATACATGGTTTACATTTTATACATGTTATACATGTTATACATGTTATAAATGTTATAAATGTTATACACGCTATACATGTTAGACATTACGTACATACGTACGTACGTACATACATAAATACGTACGTACATACGAATACACATATATAGATACATAGATAACATAGATACATAGATACATAGATACATAGATACATAGATAGATACATAGATAGATACATAGATAGATACATAGATAGACACATAGACAGAGACATAGATAGATACATAGATAGATACACAGATAGATACATACATAGATACATAGATAGATGCATAGATAGACACATAGACAGAGACATAGATAGATACATAGATAGATACACAGATAGATACATACATAGATACATAGATAGATGCATAGATAGATGCATAGATAGATACTTAGATAGATACATAGATAGATACATAGATAGATACATAGATAGATAGATAGATAGATACATAGATAGATAGATGGATAGATAGATAGATAGATACATAGATAGATACATAGATAGATAGATAGATAGATACATACATAGATACATACATGCATACATGGTCATGGTCAGGTATGTACGCTGTATGTACGCTGTATGTACGCTGTATGTACGCTGTATGTACGCTGTATGTACGCTGTATGTACGCTGTATGTACGCTGTATGTACGCTGTATGTACGCTGTATGTACGCTGTATGTAGGAGACTCTATGTAAGATATAGTTTACACACCCTACCCCTCTGTGGGATGGGTGGGGGCTTGGTAGTGTGTCACTAGCATGTAAGGCAAAAACTAGTTATAGTATGTGGCTACAATGCTCCACGCCCCCCCTGTGTAGATGGTGTACAGGTAGCACATGGCTTGCACGTATGTATAGCATATGAGATCTTGACAGTAGCAGGTATATGGCTACTATAAAGGTACTTTGTGGGCAGTAATACATTGTAAATAGCGTGATGCAGGGTGTAGCTTATCCCAACGCACCCCCCTGTGGGATAAGTGGGGTGTTATAGAGGTACCATGTAGATAGTGTATAGGTAATACGTGGCTAGCACGTATGTATAACACACTAGATCTTGACTTTATGGACAGTAATAGGTTGTAAATAGATTGTATGGGCATATAAGCAGTAGTGAACACTGCATGGAGGTATCCTGTTAGGTAGTGTATAGGTGGCACGGGTTAGTGTATAGGTGTATGGCATATGGGATCTGGACGGATGGTCGTAGATGGTTAGGCCACCCCCCAGGGGTGGTTTCTGGGGGGGTGGGATAGCATTGGGAGGAGGGTTGCCGGGCCGCCGGCCGGGACCATATATTATAGACATGTACATATGTATTGTACACACACATATATATATATATACACATATGTATATATACATATAGATACACATATCTTTTTTACGACATAGATATGCTGAATTGCGAGAGATGCTGATTCTATGTTCAAAATATTGTCTAATGTCAGTTTTGAAACATGGGGTTCCCCCGTTCGATTGGTGTGTAGAAAACCTTTTCATCACGGTATGGGCTGGGAGGGGTCAAAGAGCTAGCCTAGCATCATTCTGCTTAGAACCCCGATTCAAGTCGCGCCAAAGTGTTCTGACCGGAGCTTTCAGTTTCGCTTAGATTTGCTTTCGCTTCAGGCGAGTCTGCGTTTTCAGCCAATCAAGCTTGAGGAGACTGGAGCAACAGATTCTTTGTTCGTTTTCAAGAATGTATTGTTCGTTTTCAAGAATGTATGTATGACTTTACGTCGTAGATTTTTCTTTGGTGTGCTAAAATCCTTGAAGTTCCTGTCGAGTTGACTGAAATTCCATGTTACAACGGAGCGGAGGGATGCTGGGATGCGGTGCCGATGCGGTGCCGATGCGGTGCCGATGCGGTGCCCACGGAACTTTCTTCAGTTCACTCAATCTGTGATGTTTTGGGCAATAGCCATATGATTGTAGACGGACAACAGACAAAATAGGGGGCATCTGGTTTCAAGCAACTTTTCAGTCCGAGCTGGTCTTGGTTCTGAATTCACCCAAGACCCTGCAGACTCCTTCACACATTTTCCGGCAGAATCTGGCTCGCAGGTTCCCAGTACTTGAATTGTGCGTTCTAACCGTTCTAACTGCTCATAGAAAATTGTTGCTTCAATCTCCTTCACCTGCGAAGAACAACCTGTCCCATTTGCGACCTCCACATAGCGCGACGCCATGATGAAATGTACTAGAACCACAGTCAGCTCTAATTCAGCATCCATTTCATGAACTCTTGGGTTGAAGCATCGATGGAGTAGTGGGACAGCGATATACAGTTTGAAAATGTTTGAAACTGGTGACTCAACTGTTGTGGAAACTCAATGGTTGCCTTTCGACTGTTTTCGTGTCAATCTAGTCCCTTGGCTTTCATTTGGATCGTCTTGAGAACGGTTGCCGGTCCGGACCGGCAAACCCTCCAGAAGGCTGCTGATCAAGGGATTTTGTTATGATTTGGCTACAGTCAAGAGACTCATGAGTGATTGGGTGGAGAATTAACAAGAGGCACAGGTACACTTAAAATTGACAGCATCCTGCAGCTTCTTTTCCTTCGAAGCATGGTCCTTCGCTATGCTGCCTGGAACCGGAGTTTACAGGATACAGAGCTGCAGATACGTCGTTCATTTGTGGGCATTTGGGCACTCAACATTCTCCAGCGTTTGATTCATTTTGTGATAAAATGGTTTCAGATGATCCATGCACATTGATCAGTTCTCCAGAAATGTTCTGAATGATGCGTGGCTCTCATTGGGCTTGCCAGGGGCGGCCTTTTGCATCGTCATTGTATTGAAGGAAATCCCAACTTCGAACAGCTAGATGACTTCGCGAATGCTGAGATCGATGAGGAAGGTGCCCGGGCTGTTTGGCTCTTGCATGTTCTATTTCTTCAAGTGATGGAAACGCGTTGAAACATGTGTCGATTTTGACCCAAAAACTTTCCAGGCAACTTGACCCTGCATGCATGGGCAAGCATTGTGTTCCAGCCTCAGTTGTACAAGTTGCAAGTTGAGTGCAAATGCCACTTTTTCCCTGATGGTTTTGTCAATGCTTTGAGGTCAACTGCCGAAGGGCCACCAGCACCCTGGCCAACCGAAGTGCTTCTTCCAATGAATTGCATCTCGGTACACAGATTAGCAGGAGTAAAAATGGATTTTGAAACACGTGCAGCAACACGTCCAGAAACACGTCATATAGCAAGCTAGACTGCAAAGGCCCAATTTATCAAATATGATATGAACTTCAGTTGCAGATATGTAGTCAATGGGTGAACACGCCGGAGGGTTTGAATTATGGCAGTTGTCCTTTTTCGCACGTCATCGCTTTTGGAAAGTCAGGCCACATACGCCTTATACATGTGGCCGTCCCTTCTCCTTTCTTTCTTCCCTCGTTGAATATGTCTGATATATTCTGATGTTTGCTTGCATCTTGCTTGGGGCCCAACCTGCTGCAGCAGTCTTCAGGCAGAATGCGCCTAATTGAAGCTTGGATTCTTGGACAGCTGTATAATGACCAAGACGTTGTGAGGCACTTGGGAATCAACGAGATTCTGAGACCATACTGGACCCGGCAACATCAAGACATTAGGATCTTTGCGATGGATAAGAAAACGGGTCTACTTCATTTCCATGTCCTCTCGCGGCAAGTTCCTGTCACCTCTTCCTGGCAATAGGCTTTCAGAATCTGCACTTTTCATGCCTTAGATGTTTGAAACGGAGTCGCAATCCCACAGAGTTCCTAAATCTCATATGTACAGCGCTGTGTGCATATATATATATATGCTGTATATAATATAATATATATATAATAGAATATTATATATAATATAATATTATATATAATATAATATTATATATAATATAATATTATATATAATATAATATTATATATAATATATTATATAATATTTATATATATAATATAATATTATATATAATATATTATATATAATATATATAATATATCTAATATTATATACAATATAATATATATAATATATTACATATAATGCTATATTATATTTTGTATTATATTATATATTATATTATATTATATATATTATATTAAATAATATGTATATACAATGTTGTATCCTGATTAGTAGCTAGGTTCGCTATTGTGCCAAAAAAATCAAATTATTCAGGGCCCCGGCAATGTTTGGAAGGTTCACTACTGTGGCAAGAATTCTTGGGAGACAATTTTTTTTGTCCAAAATAATGTTTGTGTAAAAACATATGAACATTTCTTCTGAAAAATATTGCTTGCCTCCCTGTCCCAAAAGAATCAGACCGCTTATTAAACCCTTGTTAAAGAACAGTTTTTCCACATATTTCCAAGGCGCTGGGCCATGAGAGGGTCCAGTTCACTTTAGTAGGCTTGTTCTCAGGCTTCCTATTGCAGCAAGCTTTTCCAGAGCTGATCCTGGAGCCAAGCGACGAAAGAAAAGCCAATTGCCAAGTTCAAAGTCCAAGCCTTTCTAAAAACAATCAGACCGCTTATAAAGCCCTTGCTAAAAAAACAACTTTTCCACAAATTTCCGAGGCACTGGGCCATGAGAGGGTCCGGTTCACTTTAGTAGGTTTGTTCTCAGTGTTCACAATTGCAGCAAGCTTTTCCTGAGCTGATCCTGGAGCCAAGAGAAGAAAGAAAAGCCTTTTACAAAAGCAATTGCCAAGTTCAAAGTCCAAGCCTTCGCAAAGACAATCAGACGGCTTATTAAGCCGCTGTTAAAGAACAACTTTTCCACAAATTTCCAAGGCACTGGGCCATGAGAGGGCCCGGTTCACTTTAGTAGGTTGGTTCTCAGGGTTCACAATTGCAGCACACTTTTCCAGAGCTGATCCTGGAGAGAAGAGAAAGAAACACATTTTTCAAATGTCTTTCTCTTTATCTTCCTCTTCCCTTTCCTCTTCCCTTTCCTCTTCCTCTCTCCCTCTCTCTGTTCCTCTTCCTCTTCCTGTTTCTCTTCTTCTTCCTCTTCCTCTTCCCCTTCCTCTTCCTGTTCCTGTTCCTCTTCCTGTTCCTCTTCCTCTTCCTGTCTCTGTTCCTCTTCCTGTCTCTGTTCCTCTTCCTGTCTTTCTTCCTCTTCCTGTCTCTCTTTCTCTTCCTGTCTCTCTTCCTCTTCTTGTCTCTCTTCCTCTTCCTGTCTCTCTTCCTCTTCCTGTGTCTCTTCCTCTCCCTGTCTCTCTTCCTCTTCCTGTTCCTCTTCCTCTTCCTCTCTCCTTTATCTCTTTCTCTTTCCCTTTCCCTTTCTCTTTCTCTTATGGCAATTTGAATTAAAAGAACTTAAGGTGGAAAAGGTAACGCAATCAACATGCTGAACCCCGCTCACTACAAGGCACTACTTGTACTAAAAGTACTACAAATATCACAAGTTCAGCGGCAAAAAACAAGTTTTAATTAGATTTCAATTGTAACCAATTGAGATCCTTACTTAAGTGTAGATTTTTTCCCTGGGGAACAGCCTTTTTTGCGCCCAATTTTAAAGAGGGTATAGCTATTGTTGAGGGCGGGGGGCCGTGGTGGGGAACTTTGGGGTCTATTTCGTGCGCGCACGGGCTTTGACCATAAAAGTTCGCAATTTTTGAAAGAGTATCTCCTATATGTTTACTTGTTTCACTTCTTGAATGCCACCAGCTGTTGTATGTTGAATTCTTTTGTTTTTCCCTTTCCTGTCCCTTCACTTGCTTCCTCCTGTTGAACTTTGTGTATATTGATTTTTGCAAGGTGTAAGGACTGACTCTGTCTCCTTTATGGACTGTCACTATTCCTTCAATTCTTCTTAAAGCGTATTGGGCTGGGTACTTAAGATGCTGTTTTTCCTCTAACACCTTTTTTTCACAATGCGAATTGTTTTGGAAAAGGACTTGGGCTAGATGCTCCAACCTTCTGAGCTCCAAGCCCAAGATCTCTGTGATGCTGCATGGGTGGAAGGCGCAAGTCCAGGAACAAACAGGAGGGCTGTCCCTTGTGCGGTTGCAAAGGTGGAAGGCCATGGTCTACAAAGCTGCCTGTCATTGCAAAGTTTCTTCGCCTGGAATATTCATGTCAGGCTTCCTTTTCATGTCTGTTGCCACTGGGATGCAAGGGTTGCCTCTGTAGCAGGATCACACCACAAGCTCTTGGGCATAATATTTTTTACGTTTATCATTTACCCTTTGAAGGTCGGTCATTCTCTTCTCTTGTTGTTATGAACGGGTGAAACCATTGTCGTTGTAACACGTTCGGCATCCTTACTCTCATAAGTAACTTGCTTTTAACCCTTCTTTGGTGTTATGGGATGCAAGGGTTGCCCTTCCATGTTCCCTCGGAGGTCTGTCGACTATCTTATGTTATTGCTCGGGTGGAAGGGCTCACGTTTTAAGGAAGGTAACGATAAACAAGGCAAGCTCTTGGGCATAATCTCCTGTCATACCTCCTCTTGTCATTTGGATGAATGCCCCCAAAAGGAGGGAGGAAGCAAAAACTCTTGGACACAACCTCTCAATTCATCGCGGCCTTGGATTCTCCTTCTGTGCCGTTCAGTTTTTGCCAGGGTGCAAGGGTGTGCTCCGGTGGAAAGGCTTGCTTTGCAGGGGGGCTGGGCAAGGTTCTCTTGGCTAGAGTCTTTCAATTAGCTTTCCTATTCCTTCTCTGTATCTATCTGCCGTTGCAAGGACAGTAGGTTTGTGCCTTCAGAGTGGCCTTCAGAGTGGCCTTCAGTCTCGTACTGTTTCCTTTTGACTTCTTGTCAATATATCTTTCTGAAGGCACATGGTAGCGCTAGTATCTATTTCTCGTTGAAAGGGTGGTACACTCATGTCTTTGAGGAGGGCCTTCGGCCCAGTACCATTTCCACTTCTCTTCTTTACGCTGTCTATGTTTTAAGGAAGGCTTTCGGCCTCTCTTTTGCTGATTTGGGGGGTCTGAATGTGGCACGGCTACTATCTATCTGTCGTTGCAATCAAGGTAGGTTTATGCCTTCAGGGCGGCCTTCGGCCTACTACTGGTTCCACTTCTCTTCTTCACATTGTCTTCTTCAGAAGGCTGTGAATGCCGCAGGGCCAGTACCTATCTGTCACTGCAAGGGTGGTAGGTTTATGTCTTTAAGGAAGGCCTTCCACCTAGTGACGTGTCCACTGCTCTTCTTCACCCTGACTTTTCGCGTCACTCCTCATGGTGTTTTTTGTGAAGGCTCTCAATGTGGTAGCGTAGCGCTAGTACCTTTCTGTCGTTGCAAGGGTGGTAGGTTTCTGTTTGTTGGGAGGCCTTTGACCTAGTACATTTCTCTTCTCCACCTTATCGTTTTGTGAAGGCTGAAAACGTGATAGGGCTATATAGTATCCATTTGCCCGCGCAAGGGTGGCAGGTTGATGTTTTTAGGCAGGCCTTCGGCCTCTCTTCTTTTCTAGAGGGTCTGAATGTAGTGTGGCTTGTGCCTATCTATCATTCCAAGTGCAATACGTTTATGTCTTTAAGGGCACCTTCGGCCTAGTAACGTGTCACTGCTCTTCTTCACATTATCTGGTTCAGAAGGCTCTGATTTGAGTAGGGCTAGTATGCGCCTGTCGTTGCAGGAATGGTATGCTCGTGTCTTGAAGGAGGGCCTTCGGCCTAGACTTCTCTTCTGTACATTGTTTATTTTTCAGAAGGCTCTGAATGCGGTAGGCCTAAAAAAATTGCAGCCCCTATTTATCTGTCTTTACAAGGGTGGTAGGTGATCTTTTTTTGGGAGGGCCTTCGGCCTAGTAACGTGTCTACTGCTCTTCTTCACCTTGTCTTTACCCTTTCCACTCCTTATTGCAATTTTTCTGGAGGCTCTCAATGGGGCAGGGCTTGTACCTATCTGTGGTTTTAGGGGTGGTTTGTTTCTGTTTCTAGGACAACCTTTGGCCTAGTATTTCTCTCTTTCTTTTGACGCCTCGTTGTGATTCTTGTGAAGGCTCTGAATGTGGTAGGGCTAGTACCTCTCTGTCGTTGCAAGGGTGGTTGGTGTCTAGTACCTACTTGTCACTGTCGTTGCAAGGGTGGTTGGTGTCTAGTACCTACTAAGGGAGCAATCAGTCTTGGAATGATAATCCAATAATCCATTAGGAAATGGTCAACGGTCAACGACCCTGAGGCTTAACAGGTCGAAAAACTTGAAAAAACCATCGGTTTTTGATACTTTTTCAATCAAAACATGAAAACCCCTAGGGAAACATAGGTTTCTTCAATGGAAGCTTCGTCCAGGTTCCGAGGCTTCCATTGAAAACATTCAACGACCTAGTTTTTTTTTTTTCAGATTTTCCGGAAAAAGGCACCAAAAACCCCGGTTTTATCAATGTTTTAGGCAAGACTTAACTAAAGCTCAAAATCTTGAAAAATTATTGACTTTTGATACTTTTCCACCCAACACATCCAAAAACCCAAGGGAAACATAGGTTTTTTCAATCGAAGCTTCGTCCAGGTTCCGAAGCTTCCATTGAACAACTTTCAAAAACCTACAGTAGGCGTTGTTAATATTTTCCGGAAAAAGGTACCAAGCAGCTAGTTTTTTTCAAGGTTTTACCCGATAATCAAAGAAAGTAAAACTCAATGAAAATTGTGTTTTTGAGGCTTCATTTCCGGCAAGTTGGGCGGAGGCTCAAAGTTGGAAACAATTATTCTTATTTTATATATATATATAAATATTTAATTTTATTTATTTTTATTGTTTCTTGAGACTCTCGCAAAATAAGTAAAAACATAAAAAGCAACGGAGCTGCCGTTATTTATTTATTATTTTTTAAAAAGGTGTTATTTTTTTAAATAGCTTCCTGACACCCTCGCAAAATATTTAAAATAAAAAAACACGGAGCTGCTGTTTTTCTCATCTTTTAAAATTATTTTAACTTTAATTGTTTCCTGAAACTCTCGCAAAATAATGACAAATAAAACAAAAGCTAAAGAAAACGGAGTTGTTTTTTTAAATTATTTATTTTGATTATTTTGCGAGAGTCTCAGGCTCAGGAAACAATTGAAATAATTAAACAAAATAACAAATTAATTGTTTCCAACTTTGAGCCTCCGCCCAACTTGCCGGAAATGAGGCCTCAAAGATACAAATTTCATTGAGTTTTACCATGAAAAAACGGTTTTTGAGTAAGGGTCCCCCCCTTGCGAAATTAAAAAATTGAAAATAATTATAAAAACGGAGCTGCTGTGTTTTCTTTTTTTTAATTGTTCAATTGTTTTAATTGTTTCCTGAAACTCTCGCAACATAATTAAAATAAGTTGAAAAACACCGAACTGCGGTTTTATTTTTTAAAAATATTTTTCCAATTATTTCAATTGTTTCCTGAGACTCTTGCAAAATAAATAAAAAAGAAAAAGAACGGAGCTGCCGTTTTTTATTTTTATTTTTTGATTATTTTAAATGTTTCCCGAGACTCTCGCAAAATAATTAAAATAAGTAAACAAATTAAAAAACAAAGCTGCGGTTTTTTCATTTTTTATTTTTTCAAATTATTTTAATTGTTTCCTGAGCCTCTCGCAAAAAAAATATAATACTTAAAAGTTTAAAAAGACGGAGCTGCTGTTTTTTTCATTATTTTCATTGTTTCCTGAGACTCGCGCAAACTAATTAAAATAAATTAAAAAACCGGGGCTTCTGTTTTTGTTTGATTTTTTAATTTATTGTTTCCAACTTTGAGCCTCTGCCGCAGCCCAACTTGCCGCGAATGAAGCTCCAAAGGTGTGGCATGCATGGCGCGCCAAATAGACCCTAAAGTTCCCACATTCGGCGGGGGGCCCGACACTAATCAGGACGAAACATTATATATATACATATATATATATACATATGTATACATAGTATAGGGGTATTCACACATACATGTTAATGGATGGATATTTGGAAGATGTTGGAATGATGTGTATAATTTTGGCATGGGTAAATTTTGAATCTTTTGTGCCATCCTGATGCTTTGGGACTCAACATGTGGAGATGCCAAGTGAAGCCAAGGTATGGGCATCCGTCTGACCCAAGTCGGCGAATGGATGTGACACAACGGGTTGCAGCTTTCATGAATGGCCACGAGAATGTGGGATCGCCGGGATCAGGGTCTGTTGCCTGCATTTGGGCCATGGCTTCACCTGTCCATACCTGTCCCACTGTCCAGGCACATGACTGTGATGAACTGTCCAGCCGTGTCCCAGAGCGAAGCTGAATGCTGAGGCTTGGAGGATTGCTGCGGCAGAATTGCTATCGCAGCTTGAAGTAAAAGCTCTTGCAATCACCGGATTTGGGATAAAACATGACTGATATCATTTCATTACACGTACTGTCAGTGTAGCTGTGCCCCTTGGACTCTGAAATGGGCCCTGACCTCCCGTGCTCATAGGGCACGGTGGATCCAGCTTCGTGCTGTGAAGGTTGAAGGCGATTTACCACAACAAATCTGTGGGATTCGACAGATCATTGACAAATGCAATGATTCCTTCACATTCCTGGTGCAAAAAGGAGCTCTTGTTTCAAGACGAAGTGTTCATTGGCTCAGGACATGGAAAGCTTTGCCTTCCTGCCACCTCTGAGTTCTGGGGCGAGGCCCATGCTTGAGGGCTGCAAGTTTGGCCTGACGTGTTTGCTGACTTGATTTTGCTCTTGGAAGCAGGCACTGAGAAAAATGCCTTTGAATTTCCTGTTCATGTGTTCAGCCCCAGTCGCGCATCAGGATCCAGCACGCTTTGTGTGGAAGAAGTTGGTCGTGCGACTGCGCCCACGCTCAAATTGATCCAAAAATGAGCGTTGTGGCCTGTGCGGCTTCAATCACAGCTTACACAAAGACTGCAATTTGTATCATTGATTGCAGTCAAGAAGACTAGACATGTTATCCACATGTTTTCCCTTTTTGTAAGCAACCCTCGACCTAAGAAATCTCGCATGAAATCATAAACATCTGCTCTCAGCGCCAGGAGCGAGGATCTTATGTCAGATGCTGAGAATTCCTCAGTTGCAGTGACACGGTCTTTTTGGAGAAGACTTTGCTTTTAATATTTCTAATACTTGCAGTATCTTGCAGTATCTTGCAGTATTGCTTACCACACACCCATACTGGGGGATGGTCATCAATCCATCAGTAGCGGTTTATATGATTTTATTGTAGAGCTTCGCACACTGGCGATGTCATAAGGGTTATTGTATAGTAGTGTGAGGCTGGTGTTGTTCACGTGCTCGGCGCGCGCGCGCAGGTGCAGAGCACACTATGATGTGCTTTTTATACCGCAGATTGCAACACATTTTTTTTGTCGCATTTCTATGCTGTTTGTTGTTGTTGTTGTTGTTGTTGTTGTTGCTGTTGTTGTTGTTGCTGCTGCTGTTGTTGTTCTTGTTCTTGTTCTTGTTGTTCATGCAACGCATCTTATTGTCGCATTTTTGTGGACCCTCAAGATCGTCACATAGGTGGTGTCTTCGCATTTTTCACACCCTCGGAGCAAAAAACACCGTAAATGCCTCGGAAGCCCAAAACCACGGTATTTACGCAGTTTTTTTCCCCACCTGCCAGGTGAGGGTTGTTAGATTTTATGTCAGTTGCCTCCTCCTCCTCCTCCTGCTCCTCCTCCTCCGCCTCCTCCTGCCTCGTCCTCCTCTCCTCCTCCTCCTCGTCCTCCTTGTCGTCCTCGTCGTCCTCGTCGTCCTCGTCGTCCTCGTCGTCCTCGTCCAACTGCGACCCGCGATCCACAGTGTTCCCTGCCGGACCTCAACCACGACCATCCACGCCCAGTGTTCCCTGCCGGACCTCAACCACGACCAGCCACGCCCAGTGTTCCCTGCCGGACCTCAACTGCGAGTATCCACGCCCAGTGTTCCCTGCCGGACCTCAACCGCGAGTATCCACGCCAAGTGTTCCCTGCCGGGCCTCATGTAGGAAGATAAAATGTCAGATAGAGTGCCAGAAGATTTGCCAGGTAGAATGCCAGAAAATATGCCAGAAGATATGCCAGATAGATATGCCAGAAGATATGTCAGAAGATATGCCAGATAGAATGCAAGATAGAATGCCAGAAGATATGTCAGATAGAATGCCAGAAGATATGCCAGATAGAATGCCAGAAGATTTGCCAGATAGAATGCCAGAAGATATGCCAGATAGAATGCCAAATAGAATGTCAGAAGATATGTCAGATAGAATGCCAGAAGATATGCCAGATAGAATGCCAGAAGATTTGCCAGATAGAATGCCAGAAAATATGCCAGAAGATATGCCAGATAGATATGCCAGAAGATATTCCAGAAGATATGCCAGATAGAATGCCAGATAGAATGCCAGAAGATATGTCAGAATATATGCCAGAAGATATGCCAGATAGAATGCCAGATAGAATGCCAGAAGATTTGCCAGATAGAATGCCAGAAGATATGTGAGAAGATATGTGAGATAGAATGCCAGAAGATATGCCAGAAGATATGCCAGATAGAATGCGAAATAGAATGTCAGAAGATATGTCAGATAGAATGCCAGAAGATATGCCAGAAGATATGCCAGATAGAATGCCAAATAGAATGTCAGAAGATATGTCAGATAGAATGCCAGAAGATGTGCCAGTAAGAACATGTATAAATGTCATGGTGGGGATCACACGAAGTAAAGTAATTTTCTTCTGGTAGCAAAAATCACGGTATTTACAGTGTTTTTGTGCCAGCGCCTAGCAAAAACACTGGTATTTACGCAGTTTTCACCATGTTGCAAGATGTAGTTTCTGTATGCGAAAAGGACCAAACCAACGTATTTTACGATGTTTTTTCCCCACCAGCGAAAGCTAATGGGGTCTTCAGCCCAGAATAGCTCCGGTGTGTACTGGTGCAGGCGTCGGGTCAGGTTCAACGAGGTTTCGGAGAAGGTTGCGGAGAAGGTCTGGGAGGCTTTGGTGACGGGCGACGGGCGCTGGCTATGATTCCAAAACATAGCCCAGCCTTCCAAGGTCAGGCCTCGCAGGGCCCAAACACAGTGGCAGTGAAGGACGGGTGGGCGGAGCCTTCCAAGGGCAGGCCTTGGAGGGACCAAACACAGCGGCAGTGAAGGGCGGAGGGGCATTGGTCACCTTTTGCAGCGCCAAGAAAGTGATTCAAAACTAAAACGCGCCCGGATTTGCTTTCAAGGTCAGGCTTTGCAAGTGGCAAGCACGACCTCAAAACATGGCCGGTCTTGCCGGAAAGGTCAGTCTTCAAAGGGGCTTGGCGGTGCCTAACGTCACCTTCTGCGACTGACTCCAAAACATCGACCTTGCCCCCAAAGTCACCCACATCGCGCTTGACTGCTTGAGCCTTCATTGTGGCATGCGGCAGGGACTGAAAATAGCAGTGACAAGACAACGCGGCATGTGCGAGTTCCATTTGACGTGCTCCCCTTGCCATCGGCCGGGGTCGGCGGATATGCATTGCAAGGGTTTCTATTATGGGATGGATGACCTTGCCTTACCACATATACTCTGCATATACTTTTGCTTGACCGTGGTTTTATGACTTTGGGAGGTTCCTCCGCCACGCTTCGACGGGAGCTTCCAGAAACTCACGCAACCTACTGCAGACAAGGCACACTGATTCGCTGAGATCGTTGACAATTTGTGGAAGACTTTCCATATCCGCCCATCAAACATCGAAAAACTGAACATGTCATAGAAGTGATGGCAGCCACTTCAAACGCTGTCCACAGGTTGATCAACTTGTTTGGGCTGTCAAACACTTCGAGGCCACAGTTGCTTTTTGCTGGTGTTTTGGGCTTTGGGCACTCTCATGTCTGACACACAGTCTTGGTGCCGATCACTCTATGTTTTTTTTGGGGTTGCAAGGAGAGCAACTCATAAGCCATAAATTGCTTAGAGCTTGGAACAAGAGAACCATAGAGAACCTATGCATACATAACAACTATTCATAACAACTATTCATAACAACTATTCATAACAACCTTCATTGATCACCACGGTTTGGTTGGGTATCCAAAAGGCTTGGCACCACTCTGTCGGGGTTGGTAGGCGTGTGTAGCCTTGATGTCACTGCTCATGAAATGCCACT